CTTCGTCAACAACAAGTTTGCTTACTGCAAAACCAAGAATATTGTTGTGTCTTCTATGTTGCTTTCCTATATCGCTGACTGTAGTTCAGTAAATTGTTGTTGACCAAGTAATCGTCGGAAAGAGTGTAAGTAAACTTGTTTAACATAAATTGTATATGCTACCTAACTTTTATTTAACAATATTTTTACTATATATGGTATCTGGGTTTACTACTATATGTTAACGTAAATTATGAATGACCTCAAAGTGCTTAGCATTTTTTTGCTTTGGGTATTATTATAAAGTGCCAGGTATCAGCATAAAGTGCATAGCATTATTTTGCCTTAGGCATTATTACAAAGTGCTAGGCATTGGCATAAAGTGCCTGGCATTTTTTTCCTTAGACATTATTATAAAGTGCCAGGCATCAGCATAAAGTACCATCTATCAGTATAAAGTGCCTAGCATTTTTTTGCCTTAGGCATTATATGCCTGGCATAGAAATGCCACTTATTTTATTAGGTACTATATGGCACAAAAATGCCAAATACTATTTAGGCATAAGCATAAAATGCCTGGCTTTAGACATTTATGCTGGAACTTTAATGCCCATGCCTATAAGTGTACTGGGTATTTTATACCTATAGGCATAGGCATAGCATAAAGCACTAGTGTCTGGCATAATGCCAAGATGCCTGGCATGGGCATTTGCAGAACCCTAATATATATGATTAAATAACTATTATAATGATTCCATACAATTTTCTAACAAATATGTCAATTCAAAGATGTTTGAATTGTTATTCAATCCTAATCGAAACATCCAAATTACTCTAGCTGAAGCGTAAAATATTAAAACATTCTGTAAAATAACATTAAAATTTTTTTGTGTTAATTCTAAATGTCTATATGCCTAAAACCTAATAATCTATGAAAGTAAATAAACTCTAAACTATCAAGGTTCAACCTAAATATTTTTCTAATTAGTTCATATCTGTAATTTCAAATTAATAAAAAATATGAATATAACAATCAATATCAGTATATAAAAATAATCAATTAGAAATATAATAATCAAGCATCAATAATAAGTATATAAAAACATTCAAATAATATAATAACAATTAATATAGAATGATGTGCAAGAACAATCGAGCAAAATAAAAACCAATTTTACATAAATCAAATGCATAAAAACAATTGTGCAAATACAAAAAATTATAAAGCAACAAATATAAGTTCAAGAATTACAATTCTTCTAGTAGTGACCTAAATCTCCGCATTTTTTGCATCGTCTTTGTTGCCTTCTATTACCTTTACCTTGATTTTTTCATAAGTGTTTTAAAGCAACTTATGTCTAAAGGTCTTCCTTTACCATGCCTTCTTTTTGAATTCTGTAAATGAGGCAAGTAAGAATCAACACTTTCTTTATTACTTGAGAAGTCATTTTGACTAAATTCATTATTAGAAGATTCATTATTTTCATCTGCAAATTCTTGCAAGATCTTGATAAGATGATGTAACCTTGACTTATTTAATAAAGCTATCTGCAAAGCTACTTTGTAAACACTATGAAGAGTTTCATATATCAATTTTTGCTCAAGTACATTCATCTGTTATTCAGTATCACGTTTTCATTAATAATAGTATTTAAATAATTCAACAGTCTATTATCTTGTAATGAATTAGATGTATTTTCATGAAATTTGTCAGCAACAATAAATAATTCATCAGATACTTCCTTATTTCTTTGGTACTAATATGAGGAAATAGGCCTTATATGAAACTTGGCATTACTAGCATTTAGTATAACCTAAAAAAAATGGTAACAGATAATGCCTTATTTAATAATTAAAAAACACAAACACAGATAAGAGCCATTCCTCAGAAGCACCATATAATGTTTTGGATATTGTCAAGTCCGATTACGGTTATACGGGGTCTTCGTTACTTCGGCCTTCCAATTCAACTCGCTTGGCTTTCCACGCAGTCTGGAGTATCGTTCCAGGTACTACCACCAATATACTACGACGTTGACCACACAGTTTTTCCTTTAGAA